CAGTGCGCTCCACCCCTCCACTGGCTGATGAGATTCTGGACCTGGAGTCATGAAGCCTCAGGCCCAGGTGGAGTCCAGGAGGAAGCAACACTTGAGACCTTTGTGGTCTGGGTTTGAGATGGAAGTTGGAGCTGTGCTACCCTCCCATTTTGCAAATCTACACCATTCATACCAGCATTCTTTAAGGACTGTGTGTGTGTGTGTGTGTGTGTGTGTGTGTGTGTGTGTGTGTGTGTATTCTTTTTTCCTTCTCCTTTCTTGACCAGCAATTTAGATTAGTTGCTATGTATGTTCCGGCAGCTGTTTTCTTTCCCCGCCACCTTCATGGTTATACTCTGGCTTTCTCCAGCTACTCTAGGTGTCATAGAGGACCCGTCTCCGGTTACTCTAGGTGTCATAGAGGACCTGTCTCCAGTTACTCTAGGTGTCATAGAGGACCCGTCTCCAGCTACTCTAGGTGTCATAGAGGACTCGTCTCCAGCTACTCTAGGTGTCATAGAGGACCCGTCTCCAGCTACTCTAGGTGTCATAGAGGACCCGTCTCCAGTTACTCTAGGTGTCATAGAGGACTCGTCTCCAGCTACTCTAGGTGTCATAGAGGACCCGTCTCCAGTTACTCTAGGTGTCATAGAGGACCTGTCTCTGGTTACTCTAGGTGTCATAGAGGACCCGTCTCCAGTTACTCTAGGTGTCATAGAGGACCTGTCTCCAGTTACTCTAGATGTCATAGAGGACCCGTCTCCAGCTACTCTAGGTGTCATAGAGGACCCGTCTCCAGTTACTCTAGGTGTCATAGAGGACCCGTCTCCAGCTACTCTAGGTGTCATAGAGGACCCGTCTCCGGTTACTCTAGGTGTCATAGAGGACCCGTCTCCGGTTACTCTAGGTGTCATAGAGGACCCGTCTCCGGTTACTCTAGGTGTCATAGAGGACCCGTCTCCAGCTACTCTAGGTGTCATAGAGGACCCGTCTCCGGTTACTCTAGGTGTCATAGAGGACCCGTCTCCAGCTACTCTAGGTGTCATAGAGGACCCGTCTCCAGCTACTCTAGGTGTCATTTCTAGGGTACCTTTCTCCTTTGCTGTCTACAGGTTCATAGTTTTTGCTCTCTTCTCACCGACAGATGAGGGCCTTGGAATTGTTTCTCTCTTATCGTCTGCCTCCCATCTACACGCCAGTGACATTCGGTGTTTTAAGTCTCTTTTAACCCACAATTTGTACACTAATAATCTTTTTTAGCTGGTTTTTGCTTAGATGCACCAATCCATTTCCAGCTACCTTTGATGGTGTGACTCCTCTTAGATCTCAGACCTTTCACGTGGGCTGTTTTCTCTTTCCTTGATCTCTGTGTGTCTGAACTTAGCTTTCTCAAAGCCGGTTAGCTGCCTCTACTTTAGGATGGGCCTCTGAATTTGCTTCCCAGCTTCCATGTGAAGCAGGCTTGAAACAGTCGTTTGGGTGACTGGCCACCTGCCAAATGGTGATGGTAACTAGTGCTAGCCAATGTGGATGGTTTTTAGCAGGGAACATTCTAATCTCACCAAAAGGCTCTGCTTCTAGACCCTGAGGGATTCTATTACCTTTCACGAAGTCAGGAAACCACGTATGTGCATCACACCTATATGCAGATTTTACATCCTTCATCACAGTAAAGGATGCTTCATACAACAAATGAATGCAAGGGACCTCACTGTATTGGAAGCAGATGAATGGGGCTTTATGTGATCTATTTAGCATGCAAGACTCTTCCCCATTCTAATAAAAGCACTTCAAACCTTCTCTGGTGTCTCAGTTCCAATGGATCTGGACATGACTGAGGGGTTGTTATTGCGTTACACTGTTTCCATTTTACTTTGCATAAATTATCTATTCTTCATTCTTCTCCAAAGTAATTTGGAAAGGCAAACCCACCCGCTCTCCGATTCCAGGTGTGGTCATTCAGTGCGCTCCACCCCTCGGCTGGCTGATGAGATTCTGGACCTGGAGTCATGAAGCCTCAGGCCCAGATGGAGTCCAAGAGGAAGCAATACTTGAGACCTTTGTGGTCTGGGCTTGAGATGAAAGTTGGGGCTGTGTCCCCTGCCCCCCATCTTGCAAATCTACACCATTCCCGTCAGCATCCTCTAACAAGGACTGCCTTTATCTGGAAGGCTCTTGCTGCAACTAATTGCCACAGATTTACTAGCTTAAAACAACACAAAACTCTTTCCTTGTGATCTGTAAGGGAACCTAAAACCAGTCCCCATGGGCTGAAATCACCCTATTGAAAGATCTATGCAGCTGCTGGAGGCTTTGGGGAGGATCTGTTTCCTTGTCCTTTGCAGCTTGCAGGGGCACCCCACACCCCTTAGCTCATGGTCCTTTCATTATAAGGACCCAAGTGGTCACGTTAGGATCACCTAGAAAAATCAAGAACAATCTCCTGACTCTAAATCCTTAACCACACCCGCACAGTGGTACTTTCTGGAAGCCACGGCTTCCAGGGACAGCACTGCAGCACCTTTGTGCTCGTGACTCAGTCTTCTGACCTACTGACAGCATCCGACATGAGCGAATGTGCAGAGGGTCACGGCACCGTCTGACACGGAACTCATCTGAGGAAAATGCAGTTACCTGGTTACTTGATGGTCCCCGGCACAGTGACTCACCACAAACAGGGATCTGTTATAATCAACACCCTGCTGAGAATTTTTTTTTTAAAGAGAAAAGACAGATTATTCCTAAGAATTGGTGCTAGAAATTTGTGAAAGAGTGGATAGTAAGAAGAAGCATTGTTTCCCTGTGATCTGAGAAATGTGGGGTACAGGCTGGCCCGGCTTTAGAACCACAGTGGGAGTAGGGTGTATAGTCATGGGTCTGAGGGAGGAGTCCAATGGCCCTGTGGAAAAGGGCATTTTTCCTGCTTGGAACTTGTCATATTAGGCCCATGAGAGGACTCCAGCAACACCTCTGCCCCACACCATGCGGCTGGGGTGGGTGTGTGGGACTCAACCAAGGGAACCCGGGCTTTCTAGTCCCGGGCCATCAAGACCTCAGAACCAACCAGGAGCCTGCCTCTGGTGCCAGGCAGTTGGGCACTATTATGATCTCTGTGATGAGGAAGCATGATCCTGCCCAGAGCCACCACAGACTGAGCAGGACAAGGAGACCCACACGCAGGCCTGGGGTGGTCGCCCCCAGGCTCCAAGGAGAGAACTCGGGCCCACGCGGCACCTTGCGGCACCACGTAGATGGACACTATTATGGTGAGCAAATGTAAGGTGTGGTGCAGGAGAGAGAGGGAGAGAGAGAGAAAGAGAGAGAGAGAGAGAGAGAGAGAGAGAGAGAGAGAGATTGGTTCATGTCCTGTGAACAGAAGCATATCTGAAGAGGCAAAAAAGGTGAGGATCGGGCTGAGGAGGTGGGTGGCTTCATTGCCACCCAGGGCCATGGTGATGTCTGGGCCTGGACTGCTGCCAGGGCCCATGCCTGGGTTCATGGATCTGATGCAGCTGTGGTCTCTGTTGATGCTCAAGGCTCCTGATACCACCAAAGGCCAAGAGGATAGGGCTGTACAGAGTTGGCCACGCCCCTCACTGGCTGTAACACTAGGGAGAGCTGGCCCTGCCCCTCACCAGCTGAAGCACTCAGGAGCGAGGGTCCTTCACCTCACCTGGGCAGCACCACAGAGCTGACCTTGTTTGCAGGGGCATGGGCGAGCTGGCCCTGAGGGTGAGAGAATGGGAGAGCAGGTTGCACCCCTCTCGTGTGCCATGTGGTGGCATGGGTGAGGGAAAGGTGTCCTTCTTCTCTCGTCCCTCACCACCTCAGCAGGTGGGGGACCTGACCCAGCCCCTCACTAGCTGTAGCACTCGGGAGAACAGACCCTGCACCTCACCTGGACAACACAGCAGAGCTGACCCTGTAGACAGGGACACACACACACACACACACACACACACACACACACACACACACACACACACACACGACACGGCACAGGTGAGCCACCTGTGGAGGCTGCCGTGAGAAGGGTACAGCTGGTACAGCCTCCCTCATCTGTGGTGTGATGGTGGGAACGAGGGAAAGACGCCCTCCCCACTTTCCCCTACCAACTCCAGCTGTCGAGGGCGCTGACCCTCCCCTTTACCAGAAGCAACACTCAGGAAAGCAGGCCCTGCACCTCACCTGGGCAGCACAGAGAAACTGACCCTGTTTACAGGGGAGTGGTGAGCTGCCCCAAGAATGTGAGCATGAAAAATCTGGCCTCGCCCCTCATCTGCCATGTGGTGGCACGGGCAGGGAAGAGATGCCCCCCCCATGCCTGAGTTGGATGGGAGAGCTGGCCCTGAGGACGTAAGAGCAGGGGAGCTGCCCCTTCCACTCCCCAGCTACAGCACTCAGGAGAGCGGCCACTATACCTTGCCTGGGCAACACAGTAGAGCTGGCCCAGATGGTCCAAGCGTGGGACAGCCAACCCTGAGGGCATGAAAGCAGGAGAACTGGCCCCGCCCCTCGCTAATTGTGGCAAGGGACGAACTAGCTGGGGCATTGCTGGAGAGCTCACCCTGGTGGTGAGGACAGGGGAGAGCTGGCAGGCTGACCAGCCCTGCAACTACCCAGGCCCAGAACCAGAGTTATGAGTTGGTCCACCCCAACATCTACCCCATCTGTGATCTGTTGGAGCACATGAAGGGACTGGTCCTGCAGACTGAAAGCTGCAGGATCTCCATGACACAGGGCAACAGGATATCCAAGAAGCATCCCAGTGAGGGCCCAGCATTGATAATGTAATAGAAACCAGAGACCTTGAACCAGACCAATGACTCTTAGCAATGAACACAATATGGACAAATGGGTTTACTGTGTGACTCACTGTGACACACTACAGCTTCCAGGACGAGATTTTGCTTTTTCCTTTTTTTCTCTTAAATTTTATTTTATTTTGGTGGTAGGGATGCAAGGGCAGAGAGTGGATATGAAGAGATGGGGAAATGAATGGGATTGAGACACATGATGTGAAATACACAAAGAATACAAAGGAAAGTTAAAAAAGAACTTGCCTTGTTAGATTAAGATTGGTTTTTTTCAAACCTTTAATGATGATTGCTTCAAAGCAGTTCCCTTTTGAGGATGTGGTTTTCCCGCCCCTCAATATAATTCTAGGACTGAAGAGAAGCAGGTGGAAAGGATACAGATTTCCTGCTCACATGCAGGACAACATGACCATCTCAGCATCCCTCTGGTCACTCCAATGGGTTTGAGCAGAGGAACACATAGGAGAAGGATGTGTTGTTCCCATCGGTCAGGATCTAGACTAGTTGTTCCCAGGTTCTAGGCCTCTTATTCAAGGAACTGAAATAATTTGCAAAAATAACGAGAGAATTTTATTTAAAGTGAAGCAATATGATACCAGGCTTTTTCTTTTGGGCCACCAATCAGCTCCCAAATCATGACAGAGTCTTATTAGTTTTGAATGCTTGGCCTAGCTTAGGCATGTTTAAGGCTAGCTCTTTTAACTTAAATTATCCTGTTTCTCTTTCTCCACCTTGTGCCTCAGGCCTGTTCACTTTTCCTCTTCTGTAGATCTTACCTTCATTGCTTCTCGTCTTCGCTGGCTGCGTCTGCCTGGCTTCTGGCCCCGGACGTCTCCTTCCTTCTCTCCTCTCATTCCTTTCTTCTCTCTTTCCTTTTTCTCTTCTCAAGACTAGATTTCTCCTCCTATTTATTCTCTCCACCTGCCAGGCCCACCTATCCTTTCTCCTGCCTAGCTACTGGCTGTTCAGCTCTTTATTAGACCAATCAGGTGCCTTAGGCAGGCAAGGTGAAACAAAGGCAACACATCTTTACATAATTCAACAAATGCAGCATAGACAAAAGTAACACACCTTGACACAGTTGAAGTAATAGTCCACAACATAAACAAATGTAGCAATCTTTGCCCAGTTAAAATAATATTCCATAGTGCAATACTACTGATTAGAAAGGGATCCATGTCAAGATTGACAGAGGGTCACATGAGTGAAGGCACTTGTGGTGGTCTGAGTGAGAATGTCCCCCATAGGTTCATATATTTGAATGTTTGGTCCCCAGGTGGTGGAACTGTTTGGGAAGGATTAGGAGGTATGTCCCTTTGGAGGAGGTATGTCACTGAAGGCCAGCTTTGAGGTTTTTGAAAACCCACAGCATTCTTGGTTAGCTCTCTCCGCCTCCTCGTAGATCAAAATATAAGTTCTCAGGTATTGCCCCAATGCCAAATGCCATGCTCCCCTGCTGCCATGCTCCCTGTCGTGATGGCCATGAGCTCTAACCCTCTGAAACTGTGAACTCCAAATTTAATGCTTCCTTTTATAAATTGCCTTGGTCATGGTGTTTTATCACAACAATAAAAAAGTAACTAAGACAGTATTCAAGGGCCCCAGTTATTGTCTGGGGCAGCAGCTGCTGCTGCCTCTCCTCCTCCTCCTCCTCCTCCTCCTCCTCCTCCTCCTCCTCCTCCTCCTCCTCCTCCTTCTTTTCTTCTTTTTCTTCTCCTCCTTCTCCTCCTTCTTGGTTTTTGATTTTTGGTATTTCAAAACAGGGTTTCTCTGTATAGCCTTGCCTGTCCTAGAACTAGCTCTGTAGACCAGGCTGGCCTCAAACTCACAGAGATCCACCTGCCTCTGCCTCCTGAGTGCTGGGATTAAAGGCGTGAAGCACTACAGCCTGGCTTGGGGCTTCTTTTTATGAGGCTCAAGAGGAGGCGTTTCCTTGCTGGGGAATCATAGTGTGAGTGGTTCTTTATCTTAATTGATAAATTAAGATACACAATCTCTTTTCTACTATGACGATTCCCTCCTACAGTGTATCTGATAGTCATAAGATGGTAAATAAGGGCTTCTCCCTAATAGTTCACTTTAAGGACACAATTTGCTTTATTAGCACTTAAAACCAGTTCAGGCCAGATCAGCCTCCCTAATTCCATACCCATACACAACTAGAGTACGACTGAGAAGAATATATTTAAGTCAGATGATAACTAAGTAGAGAAGAAACTTATTTCATTGCTTTAAGGGGTGTGTACCTGGGGCTCAATGAGGGTGGTGGTCCTAGGGTGTTCTTTGCCTTGTTCAGGGAGGAGTATGTTCATAGTCCATGCAGCAGAGGGTCGTAGGTTGTCAGGAACTGTGTTAGAAAAGAGGCATGTGTGAAGCCCACGTCAGGTGGAGTCACGGGTTGCTAAAGAATTCCCTCTGCTTGCCTGCCTCAGTATTCTGGTGCTCCATCGCAGCAAGATCTCAAGGTCTCCCTGTAATCCCAGTCCTCAAAGCCTAGGTGTGGGAAATGAAAAAGCATGCTTTGTACTCAGGAGCTTGTTAACAAGTGAGGTGTTCTCTGAGCCCCCAGATTGGTGTTTTAATTCAGCAATGGAAACCAAAAGGTGGTCAGCACCCCACATTCTAAAGAGTGCTGCCAACCTACAGGGAGAGTCAAACTGACCCTTAAACAGCAGCCGTGGCCTTGAACCAGCCCGCTAACCTTCTCAGAGAGGTCATGGTTGGGAGTGAGGGGCCAATGGACCTGGAGCAGCGAGAGCCTGGAGGCTGAGGGAGGAGAGATGTGTCCATGGCCCTGTCATTTCATGAGTCATGAAGCTGACAGGACAGGAAAGTAGACAGCTCTGAAAGTCAGGAACAGCTATGCTAATCAAGAGTGACCAGGGGTTATGGAACCTAAGTGGTCACCAGAGGATCTGCTTACTGGTGAGAAAGACTCAGTGATTCCAGAGGCTGGGAGACAACGCCAGTTTGCCTTTTACCCCACGCCGCTCAGACTGCTCAGCCCGTTCCTAACTAATTTACAATTGACCAGCACCTTTGTTGCCTGGTGGTGTTGGTCAATCTCCCCTAAAAACTGGAGAGATTTCTCCCAACCTGGGATGAACAAAAGCACACAAAAAGGGACAAAGAGGCTATCACTTTGGTCGAGGGCCTTGCCTAGGCTTCTTAAGTGCCCACCCTGGAAGGAAAGAGCGAAAGGAAACTGCTGGGGTGCCTTCGTGCCTTCTCTGCCTGAATCAAGTGACTCTTGGGAACTGTGAACCCCAGAAGCGTGTTCTACCATGGAAGGCTGAGAGCACTAGGCGGAACTTAGCCTGTCCCAACCTGGGTCAGAGGACCCAGGCTGGCTGGAGAAGTGTGAACCCTCTGCCTAGGGCTTTCGGAACTAACTAGAAAGAACTTAAATGGACCTCGAGTTCCCCGGGGGACAGCCCCAGAGAAACAGGGTTCTGATGCTGAGGTTGTGGCTCTAGCACCTGGACAGAGTTTAGCAGAGAAGGCATGAAGGTACCCCACCAGTTTCCTTTGATGAAATCCTGCACCATATAAGACTACCTTCAGAAATTCAAAGGCAAAATTCAAGGCCCCTTACACCACCACCCCCTAGCCCCCAACATTTAAAACCTTATTTACAGTATGAACGTCTTTGAAGTCCCTGGAAATGGCTGCGTCCTTTACTGACACAACTTCTGTTTTCATCCGGTAGGAGCAAAGGCAGCAAACTTCCCACTAGGGCCAAAGGGCCGCCTTGCCGGCTCGGCCACTCATGCGCTGTGCTGTCCCTGCGGGGGAATCCTGCTTAATTAGCCGTAGACATTTTCCTCTCCCATTGTCCTCCCTCCAAAGTAAATGGAGAATGGAGAGACCCGAAAGAGAGACAGAGACGGAGGCACAGAACGAAGAGAAAGGGGATCGGTCCCCAAACTTCTTAATCTCCTGGCCTCAGAGCCTGAAAGGAGGAGATGGGCGGGAGGTGCCCTGCAGGTTTCAGTTACAGCCCTGGGGCAAAGGAAACTGGTCTTAGGCTGAGATAAAACCCCAGCCTCTCGCTTTACTGTAGGCACGGGCATCCCCTGGGAGGGAGACTAGAAAGGCACCTTGTTCAGTGCTACTTTTAAGGACTGGGGGTGGGGGTGGCGGTGGCGGTGATGTTGGAGGGTGGAATAAACAGGGATACAAAGTGAAAGGACCCTTTCTTTGTGCCTTACTAGAAAAGCCCCACCTCCTACTTCATCCACCCCCCCCCCCCCGTTCTCTTCCTTGGGCTCCAAGGGCGCCACCTTGTGGGCAAACGAGCCACCCACTGGCAGTCTGAACAGGCCTCAAGAGGTCGACAGGGCACACATCACTTCTTCCACAGCAGGAGTGGAGACATGATTTAGCTCATCGAAGGCTGTCTATTACATTGGTTAAGATGTGTCGGCTGCTCAGCCTTTTCTAGAAAATTGGTCCTGCCTAAAACATCTCGGTGAAGGTGTGGCATGGGGGAAACACAATCACGATCCTTCCTCAGGAAGGAGAGCCAGATACTACAGCCAGCCAGTCTACAGGCAAGGACAGAGGCCCCGAGGTACACATGTGTACTGTATTAGGATCCCCGTCTCCTCCCGTGAGATCACTCCATCACCTCCCATGGCCTTGCAGCGGGCTAACCGGGAAATGAAAGGCGGGAACATGAGAATAGGGCCTTCTTACGGCCTTTAGTTTGTCAACACACACCTTTTTGCCTCTTTGTGAGGTAGACTAGGAAATGCAATTCCAGGCTGGGCAGCTACCTTCTGAGTCTGATGGAGTTACAAAGAAATATCTTCCTCTTGAGAATTTCAGCCAGAAAACACTAAAGGAATTTGCAGTTTGCGATCAAGCTGTGACTCCAGGGACATATCCATTAGCATCGGGTTGAGGTGCAGGAGTGGAGAGTGGGGGTGTGGGAACCAGCTAATGCTGAAAGAAGTCTGTTTCCTACATATGTAAAAGTCTAGAAATGAGCAGCCCAGTGTCACTCTGTGTGGTGGTTTGAAAGAAAATGGCCCCCAAAGGGAGTGGCACTATTAGGAGGTGTGGCCTTGTTGGGGTAGGTGTGATCTTGTTGGACGAAGTGTGTCACTGTGGAGGTGGGCTTTGAGGTCTCATATATGCTCAGAATGCTGCCCAGTGTCTCAGTTCACTTCCTGTGGCCTGCAAGATGTAGGAAACTCAGCTACTTCTCCAGCGCTGTGTCTGCCTGCATGCTACCATGTTGCACCATGATGATAACAGACTAGACCTCTGAGAATGTGAGTCATCCCAATTAAATGTTTTCCTTTATCAAAGTTGCTGTGGTCATGGTGTCTCTTCACAGCAATAGAAATCCTGACTGGGACGCTCTGCTTTACAGTGTCCCCAGAGAGCCAGGCTTCTGTTTTGTTACTGCAGGCATATTCACAGGAATGGTGTCCTTCTGGTCCCCCAGGAGTAGTCAATGGCCAGGCACCTGTCCATAGTCTAACCAGCAAGTTACCAGTTTACCTTCAAATAGGCAGACTAGGGACTGGAAGGTGGTCCCACGGGTAAAATGTTTGCTGTGTATGCACGAGGGCCCAGTTCAGATCCCCAGCAGCCACATAAAAAGCTAGGGATGGTGGCGCAGATCAGTGACCCTGGTGTTGATCAGGCTGAGAAGCACCGATTTCCGGGAGCTTGCTAGCCAACCAGTCCGGACAATCTGTGAGCTTCAGGTTTAGTGAGAAACCTTGTCTCAGGAAATAATGTGCAGAACAACAGAAGACACCCTGGTGTCAACCTCTGTCCCCAGTGCATGCACACATGCATGTGAGCATGCATACACACACACACACACACACACATTAAATAGTAAATACACAAAAATAAGGAGACTAGTTTGGATCATCCAGATGAACCTGCTCTAGACCCCTGAGTCCTCTAAAGCAGAAGGATTTGGAGAAGTCGAGGCACAGTGGCTGTTTTGTACATGGAGGGGACTAGGCAAGAAGGTTGATCATTGGCTCAGTAGCCAAAGATATCCCTAGACTAATAGCAGCAGGGAAACAGAGGCCTTAGACTTGAGGCTACAAGGGGCTGGATTCTGTCAACATCCCAGACAAGTAGGAAATCTCTGAAGCCAAGAGCATCCAAATGGGAAGTCAGCCCAGATGTCATCTCAAGTGTGAGACTAAACCTAGATGGTCTGGCTAAGCCCACCCAGACTTCGGGTCTGCAGAACTATCAGAGGATGAAGGGCTTGGCTGTCAGCAGTTAAGAGAGTCTATTACCAGCAACAGGAAGCTAAAACCAGCACCAGCCGAGGTGAATATCACAGAGGGTATCCTAAAAGTCACACGGTATAGTCATTTTCTGAAGAAGTTTCAAGTAAATTCATAGAACCCTGGAATGGTTCCCCTTCCCTCCAAGTGTTAAGATTTATCTCACTGCCCACAGGGTAATGGGTGTCCTAAAAGTACTGTGGGTAGTCTCTTCAAGCTTTTGATCATGTCTATTTACTAAATGTCTAATAAATCTAAAGTTCCAGCATGGTGTTGGGTTGAAAGCATCACCCATCACCTAGCAGCTACGAATTAAGCAAACTGGAGTAAAAGGCTACTCCTACACCCCTCCTCTCATCTCTCCTGGCACGGGAGGCTGGGACACGGCCTACCCTTTGGTACCATCCTCCCCCTTCCCTGTACTTGAGTAGGTGCTGTGGTGGCTTTCTCTCTGGTGACTGTAGACCCTGACTCTCTGGTAGAATACATGGGTTCAAAGCAAGGACCACCCCTGCCGTGCACAGCTGCTCACATGACTCAGCTTCCCCAACTCCTCCCAGCTCTTACCTATTAGATCCTGGTCATGTTAACCAGTGTCAGTGACTCTCTGCGGTCACCCTCTTCTCTTGACCCTGCCATGGCTCTGCTGTTCCCATTCCTCTTTCTTAGAAAGGTACAGGACGGGTTGGGGATTTAGCTCAGTGGTAGAACACTTGCCTAGCAAGCGCAAGGCCCTGGGTTTGGTCCTCAGCTCCAGAAAAAAAAAAAAGTGAAGACAGATTTATGATTTTGCCGGGCAGCGGTAGTGGCGCACGCCTTTAATCCCAGCACTCGGGAGGCAGAGGCAGGTGGATCTCTGTGAGTTCGAGGCCAGCCTGGGCTACAAAGTAAGTTCCAGGACAGACTCCAAAAGCTACACAGAGAAACCCTGTCTTGAGAAACCAGAAAAGAAAAAGGAATCGGGCGGTGGTGGCGCACGCCTTTAATCCCAGCACTCGGGAGGCAGAGCCAGGCGGATCTCTGTGAGTTCGAGGCCAGCCTGGGCTACCAAGTGAGTCCCAGGAAAGGGGCAAAGCTACACAGAGAAACCCTGTCTCGAAAAACCAAAAGGAAAGGAAGGAAGGAAGAAAGAAAGAGAGAGAGAGAGAGAGAGAGAGAGAGAGAGAGAGAGAGAGAGAAAGAAAGAAAGAAAGAAAGAAAGAAAGAAAGAAAGAAAGAAAGAAAGAAAGAAAGAAAGAAAGAAAGAAAGAAAGAAAGAAAGGAACAGGACAAATCCACATGTCTAAGCCCCAGCAGACATCTCCCCCTGTTAAGCTTCCCCGGTGTCTGTGAGTGGATCTCTTGGAATTCTTCTCCATTATTCAGCTCAGAAGGAGGAGAATTCCCTCCACTCCCTGTGGCTGAAGCAGGGCTCATTAACGAAATGGGTGGGGATGACGGCTTCAATGGTGGACGAAGCGCAAGAGCCGGGCAACCACAACTCCATTTCATAAGCAAAAGTCTAGCCCAATGGCTGATGGCTCTCTTTAGCATGTGAGGTAGCCAATGCATCTTTGTGCCCAATCACCAAGTCCTGGACACCACAAGTACTCCGCCAACATCCCATTTCAACAGTGTTTTAAAAAGAAGAGACTGTGGTGATATTGTGTTCCCCAAAATATTGTGCACCCTAATAAACTTATCTGGGGTCAGAGAACAGAACAGCCACTAGACAGACATAGAGGCCAGAAAATGGTGGCACTCACGCCTTTAATCCTAGCATTCTAGAGGCAGAGATCCCACTGGATCTCTGTGAGTTCAAAGCCACACTGGAAACAGCCAGGCATGGTGACACATGCCTTTAATCCTAGGAAGTGATGGCAGGAAGCAGAAAGGTATATAAGGCATGTGGATCAGGAACTAGAGCTGGTTAAGCTTTTAGCAATGGTTCAGCTGAGACCCATTCGGATGAAGACTCAGAAGCTTTCAGTTTGAGGAAACAAGATCAGCTGAGGAATTGGCGAGGTGAGGTTGGCTGTGGCTTGTTCTGTTTCTCTGATCTTTCAGCGTTCACCCCAATACCTGGCTCCGGGTTTGTTTTTATTAATAAGACCTTCTAACAATTCATGTTACAAGAGAAAGCTGGGTGTGAAGGCACACACCTCTAATGCCAGCTCTTGAGAGGTAGAGGCATGTTTACATGTGATTTCCAGGCTAGCCAGGGCTACAAAGTGAGACCCAGTCTCAAAAGAATACAAGAGCATCAATACACACAGATTCATTCGTTCATTCCTTAATGGGATGGGATGCTAGTAGAATTGATGCTAACAAGACACGTTGAAGAGCATCAACTGTTCTAACACAGAAGGAGGAGGAGGCTTAAAGAAGTTCAAGCAAAAAGAAAACTAGAGGACACAGTGACTGAACTTGACCTTGTGGCTTGGCTGACTCCACACTCGGTGAGATCTCTGGCCAGATACATCAGAGTGCACTGGCCAGCACAGAAAGATACTAGCCTCATTGTCCTCCCCGCTGTGGGAACTACATCTCGAGAACCATGTGTGGGCCTGGCAGCCACCTGGAGATGAAAGAATGGCCAGGCAATTGAGAGAGTTTGACAACGAGCCCGGATGGGAGGGTGCCTGCAAAGCCACCACGTGGGAGCGTTTGAAGAGACCAGGGATGTTTTACTTGGCTGTGACTTGAGGAAGGGAAGAAGACAAGGACTGCCTTTTGAAGGTGTTGGTGGTTTCAGGGAGCCGGATGGAAGCCGTGAAAACGAGTACAGGAAGGAAGCTAGAAATCCCATGCAGGAAAAAGCTGGTTGGTTATGGCTGACCACTGACTGGGAGCCTAGCGTTTGACTGCTGTGAGCTCACCCACTCCACAACAATCATTTTATAGACGAG